GTAAGGGACCTCCAGAAGCTCAGCAATTATGAGGCCAACCTCACCTCAGGGGGGAGAAGATTTCACAGCGCAGATGCCACAGCAGAAAAGGCCTGCCACCTGGGGCCTGTCAAATGTAGCTCCCTAGGTGACAGAACCCATAATATGCCCTCTCTGCTGGATCTGGTAGGACAGGCAGATGAAATCAGGGAGATGCGGTCCCTCAGATAACCCAGTCCCATTCCATGAAGGGCTTTAAAGGTCAATACCAGCACCTTGAATTGGTCCTCAAAACAAACTGGTAACTAATGCAGCTCATGAAGCAGAGGTGTAACGTGTGTTCTACTAGAAACACACATAACTGCTCATGCTGCTGCATTTTGCACCAGCGGAAGTTTCTGGATACTCTTCAAGGGCAGCCCTGTGTAGAGCACATTGCAGTAGTCTAATCAGGAGGTGACCAGGGCATGCGTGATCATGAAGAGGTCCCTCTAATCTAGGAATGGGCACAACCGATGCACAATATGAAGTTGTGCAAAGGCCCTCCTAGCCACAACTGCCACCTGCTCTTCGAGCCGGAGTCGTGAGTCCAGGAGGACCCCCAGATTGTGCACAGAATCTGTTTCGGGTAGTGCGACCCCAACAAGTACCAAAGATGGTAAATCCTAGAACCAGAGGGGCTCAGAACCCAAAGTCACTCAGTCTTGCCAGGGTTCAGTTGAAGCCTGTTGCTCCCCATCCAGATCCTCACAGCCTCCAGACACTGAGATAGGACACCCATAGCATAGCTTAGGTCGCCAGCGGCGGAGATGTACAATTGAGTATCATCAGCATACTGATGATATTTCATCCCATGGCGATGGATGAGCTCACCCAGCGGTCTCATGTAGATGTTAAATAGGAAAGGTGAGAGCACCAACCCCTGCGGCACCCCACACAGCAGGGGGTGAGGGTGAGATCTCTCCTCCCCAATCACCACCAACCAGAACTGACCCTGGAGAAAGGTGAACCAGCACAATACTGTGCAGCCCACCCCCAATTCCCTGAGTCGGTCCAGAAGGTTACCATGATTGATGGTATTGAAAGCCGCTGAGAGGTCAAGTAGGGCAAGGAGTGGATGCACAACCACCATCCCACCCATGCCAGAAATCATCCAAAAGCATGGCCAATGCTGTTTCTGTACCATACTGAGGTCTGCAGTATGGATGCAGATAATCCACTTCATCCAAGGTCCTCTGAAGCTCCTGTGCAGTCATCCTCTCAATCACCTTCCCCAAAAAGGGGAGATTGGATACTGGATGGAAATTGTCCAGTATCATGGGGTCCATTGATGGCTTCTTGAGGGGGTGAACAAAAGCCTCCTTTAGAGGTACAGGAACAACCCCCTCACTCAAAGAATTCACCATTGCCAGAACCCACCCACACAACATCCCCTGGGCTGCTTTCACAAGCCAGGAAGGGCATGGATCTAGAGAGCAGGTGGCTGAGCTCACAGTCCTAAGGACCCTGTCCAATTCATCAGGCCCAACAGGTTCAAACTGTTCCCAGATAACTGGGCAAGACTCCACCCTAGGTATCTCCCACAGACCTGCAGCAAAGCCAGCGTCCAGCTGTGAATGAATCTGAGCAATTTTATCTGACAGATGCTGAGCAAATTCCTTCACACAACCCTGCAAAAGATTGTCCAGGCCCCCTGTACCCAAGAGGACCCGTATCACCTGAAACAGGGCTGTGGGGCGGCAATCTGCGGATGCAATAAGAGCAGAGGAGTGCTGTCACTTTGCTGCTCTTACCACCACTTGGTAGGCCTTAATAGCAGCTCTAACCCTATTACAGTTTATTCTGTATTTACTCCAGACTAACAATGAATGAATGAATGAATGAATGAATGAATGAATGAATGAATGGTAGTTCTTGGTTCCTGATCTTGCCCAGCTGTTTGGGGCTGGCCATCATGATACCTGACCACCTAAAAAAGCCTGCATGGTTTGGGTGTTTGGTATCTTCAGGACCACCTGCATTGTATAGTTCCAAATGATCCACCCAATACTTACTATCTAGGGATATTAAGTGCCCCCTCCCCTTATGAGATTCAGGGAGCGGGAGCTTGAAAGCAATACTTTTCCATATGTGCTTCATCCCTATGAAACAGCCTACCCCAGGAAATTTGAATGGCACCCTTCCTATTGCCTTTTAGAAAGACAATGAAAACAGAACTCTTTGGAAGGGTATTCAATATGTATTGTTGCTAAGGATGGACACCTAAGGGTTATAATTGTTATACTCATGTTATAATTGAAGAGAATGTTTAATATAATTTTATTAATAAGTGAGTACGATTGGAAGTGGTGGTATACAAACATACAAATGCCTCTGAAAATAGAAATCCATACGATGGAGAGCCCCAAGACTGGTGAAAACATTATCATCTATTGTAACATATTTAAATTGGCTGCAAAATTGCATACAGCTAAACTCTACCTGACACAAAAGTACACAAAAGTAGTAATCTCTTTAGAAGTTATTTTCCTGTGGTTTTTTTCATTTGAACATGGTTTTCAAAAGTTAGCATTTCAGTGAGGGAAATCCAATGCTGAATTTATGAGAGCAGGTACAATTTCTAAATTCATAAAGGCTGGGGAGCAAATTTTTGCCCTTCTTGCAGCCTCTCATGAACCCAGTTTAAACAAGAGGTACTGCAACTAGAAGAACGAAGGAAAATTATGCTGTTTTGAACAGGATAATTTGCCTTGTGGTTTATGAAGCTAAAGGAAAAAAAATGTATCAACTCTATAAACAAAATGCCAACCAACTGCCCAGAAAAAGAAGTTTGTTTTTTTTTAATACTGCATAGTGTAGTACTTAAGATACACCTAGATATTTGCACATGTGATGTTGGTGTATTGGAAGCAAACAAATGATTACCAAGAAACCCCCATTTATAGCACCTTTGTAGTGCAATACAAATACATGTATGTATGTATATATGTATGTATATTAGTGTGAAATTATATGGAAGTATCACAATTTATCATGTATTGTTATTTGAGGGGATAAAATATTTTGTTTTATATATATGTATCTCTGTGTATTTGTATATATACACATACATAAATGCATATACATACATAAAGTATGAAGTTTAGAAAAATCCCCAGGAGGATAAAGTATTTTAACAAATACTTTAAATTTGTCACAATCTTTATAAGACAGGAATTATAGATCAACATTTTAATTATAATTTTTATTTATTAAACAGGGCGGTGGGTGGGTTTGGTCACTTTGAATCAGTGTTGATTCCTTGTGATCGCCTGGACAGGTCCCTGCAGTTTTCTTGACAAGATTTTTGGAAGTGGTCTTCCATTGCTTTCTTCCTAGGGCTGAGAGAGAGTGACTGGCCCAAGGTAACCTAGCTGGCTTCGTGCCTAAGGCAGGACTAGAACTCCTGGTCTCCTGGTTTCTAGCGTGGTATAGTGGTTTCTTAGCCACTATACCAAACTGAATCTCTTTTAAACAGTACCAATGATAAAAGCTGGATACAAAACCTAAACATTTAAATTTAAATTATTCAAAACTGACTATGTACTAAAAGAAATTAAACAGCAAAACTAGAAACACAGAACAGATTAAGTTAAAAAGAAAGGAAGCAAAAAGAAAAAAAAATACAGCCTCAAAGAACATAGTAAGAATTCTTTCTAATTCATACAGCAAAAATAATAAAGTCATATTGATGCAAATAATCAGAGTCAATTTTTCAACTACTGATTAAACAGATCATATTGCCTGATTTTCTACAAAGCTAATTCAAGAGCTGACAAGCCTTATCTAGCCAAAGTTTAGAGTCTGGTAGATCATCTGTATTATTTTCTGATTGACAGAGCCAGGTTAAACAATTTGCTTAGACATTTTTTATGCTTTTATGCCATTAACTCTTTTGAAAAAGAGCGCCTTGCTGTTGACAGTATTATCAGAAACTTGAATTACCTATTGTTATAATGCCAGTAATTGCTGCTTCTTCTCCTTGATAAGTGCTGCCAAAGATCCTACTGAGAATTCAAGCTGTTTCCTTACTGTGTTTAGCTTTGGCAAATAGAGAGATTCTTGGAACCCAGACTAGTTTTGTGGATCCCCAGCTGTTCTCCCTACCTGATTTTCTAGCCCATGGAGTTGGAATGAGGAACAAAAGTATCAGCTGTGTATGTGTGTGCATGAGGTGTTGTCTTTGTGAGTAACTATACTGTATCTACTGTGAGATACTGTATATTTAACACAAGAAAATGTTAATGCATGGAAATGAGCTGAACTCAAAATAAACCTCTAAAGCTTGTGCTATGTGTATAAGAGCAGTTATTAAAATGTAAGCTTAAAAATGAACAAGAAGTTTCATACCATACTACAAGCACCAGTGGTTGTTTCACACACTGTAAGGATGGATAGATTTTGAGGCCTGTTTAGCCACCGCACCACTGTCTTAGTGTTGCTCACCCACTTGACCATCGTTATGTAATATTCTCTGTGGCAGAGACAGATTTTAAAATACAGGAGTTACAAGCAGTTCATATAAATTGCTTTAAAAAATACAAGACAATATAGAAAAAATGCTATAGGCCTGCATTTGCATATCTAATATTCAAAATTTCTTCAAAATTGACTTGAACATCTTCAGAATATATAGAAGAAATACTCTCATGCTGTTTTGATCAAAATATTTTGCTTTATGGTTTATCAGACTAAAGAATACACACATACACACAACCCTCAAATCCATAAGCGGAATGTCAATGCGTTGCCAGGAAAAACAAGAGGTAGCATGGTGTAGTATTTAAGGAATTGGACTGTGGAGGTGCAGGTGCAAGCCATGGAAGCTGAGGTGACCTTGGGCCAGTCCCTCTTTCTTAGCCCAACCAACAGGGCTGTCACTCTGGGGGAAAATTGGAGGAGGATGTACTATTGATGTCACCTTGAGTTTCTGAATGAAAGACAGGATGTAAAAATAAGCAGATTATCAAGGACATTGTACTAATTGTTGGTGCAAGCCTAGGGGAAAATAAAAGAACCATACCATTATCCAATAATTTTTGGCTGAATAAGAGAATCTACACATAATTTTTATGGTTCAAGCTATTCCCTGTCCCTTTAGAAGTCCTGTTAGATTGACATGCTGAAGTAGTTACGTAGGCTACCTTCTTCTACCAGCTCTGCTGTCATTTAAACTTAGAAAGAAGTACTTAAGTTCTTAGCTGATTAATTATGTGCCATCAAGTTGTTGACAACTCTTAGCAACCACATAGATAGATTTTCTCCATGACAATCTGTCCCTAACCTGGTCTTTTAGATCTTCCAATGGTGTGCCTATTGCCACTGTAACTGAATCCATTCACCTTGCTGCTAATCATCCTATTCCATCTTTAGAGCCTTCTCTAGAGAGCTAGGTCTTTGCATAATGTGTCCGAAGCAGGATAATTTGAGCCTGGTCATTTGTGCCTTGAGAGAGAACTCTGGCTTTATTCTTGCTTTAACCTTCTACATCTAACACTCTTTTTATTATTTTATCTTATAATCTTACTATTCTATTGTTATTTTATTGTATTTTATAATTTCTATGTATTATGAACATTAAGAAGCAGTTTTTACTCTTATCACAGTTCAGTTCAGCAGTATTCAATTGTATAATTTATAGGAATCCACACTGCAGTTCTCAAGACACCAAATTCTTATAACCTTAAGTGACAATACCCAGGACACAATGTCTATTGTGTGATAATCCTACAGTTTTGCTAATGAAATTTTATAATAGATTTTATGGAAAGTTCATTACTGTTAGTGAAATCTGTGTACTTATATTTCCACTTATAAGAATATCAATCCACAGAAAGGCTGAAAATTTATATTATAAAATAATACAACTGAATTTCTCATGACACCTGTAACATTTAAGAATGATTTTACTACATGTCTCATCTCAAAGTTCATTTCTTATTTCTTAATATCTTGAAATAACTTTGTACTTTTCCACTCTTTCAATTTGATGGGTATAAGCTTTATTATTATATACTATGATACATTTTTCCTTTCTTATAAATTCTGGAGTTCTACAAAAAAAAGCTTATCTTATTGACTAATATGATACATGCTCAGTAAAGTCAACACAGATACTAAACTGTACAAAGAAAAAGGATTTGTATTATTATCCTGTAAACACAGATATAATTTACAATCTAATTAACCTTAAAAATATCTTACAATTGTATTAGATCAGTTTCACTTTTAAACATCACCTTCATACTCATATTGGGTATATCCAGCACAACACTTAGTTCTGTTATTCTGCTTATTTGTGCATGTGTGCAGGAGGAGGAGACTTCTGTCTAAAGGTCAACTCTCTTGGGAAATCAGAGTTACATACAAGAGCAAGCAGAGGCACTTTTCAAAATGTGTGGGGCCACAATTGCTTAGGTAACCCCTTATTGCCATTCATTCTTACACATACCCCTTTTACACACATTTATATACACAAAGATCCTTCCCAGTCCTACCTTCTCAGTTGACCAGTGTAGATCAGCTGAGGGATAGAGGCAGTTTCTATGGCTATACAAATACTTCCAAGTTTCAGAAAATATGGAGTGCATATGAAGCATTTACTTTCAAATTGTTAAAGCAGCCCTGTCTTTTTCAAGGATTGCAAGACTGCTTCAGAAGTTACTCCTGGCTATCTCCACATGCGTACTGTTCATTTTTTATATATATATATAAGAACTTTATTAGCATGCATACTGTTCCAAAGCAGCCGTGTGAATCTGGAAAAAGAATTGGCTCATTTTAGAACTCCTTGAAAGGACTTGCACACTAGCATTTTCCTCGCTTGGTCCTGAGAAACATGTGTATTCTATTGTATACAACAGCGGTGGAATAAAGAAAAGGATTTATCTCTGAAATGTTGCAAATTGGAAGTTTTTTTCTTGTCTTGATGCTGAGGTAGGAGACAGCCTGGGAAAAGGTTAGGACCAGGGATGAAAGGTGGTGGGTTGAAAGAGGAATGCCTGTGGATCAGAGTGTCTTCATACCTGGGTCAAAGAACAGGCAGTTTTTGAATGCAAGGGCAAGGAGGCTCCTCATGAATGAGCAGTGACTAATGGAAGACTGGATGAATCTTTAGAGAAGTAGATGATTGCAAACAAAAGGCCACTGAGTTAATGGGAAGGGCCCAAAAAACTTTGAATCCAGCTTTTTATATGTGCAGAATGTAAAAACCTACTAGAAAACTTCACCAAATCCCTCACTGCAATCTTGGCACTCTCTTGTTTGTGTGCATCTGCTGCACACTTGTATGCAGCCTTGGCTGAATCTAACTGTTTTTTGAAGAGGAATGGAATGGTCCATCTCTCCTGTAGAAAGTCTGAGCTGTGAGGAACAGTGGATGCTGGAGTTTTGAAGGGCAAGATACAGCGGTGGTAGCCATAAGTTGCCTAAAAGGAAGACATGCCTATCAAGGAATGTACTGAATGTTCTTCTGCAACCAAATTCTGCAACCATTCAATCCAGTTCTCCTGCTGATATGAGATATAGTACCTCAAGTATTGTTCTAATAATTGATTCATCTTTTCCAATAATTGATTTGGTGCAAGATGATGCAACGATAAATGAATTCAAATGTCTAGTAGCTGGAAGAGGCCCTTCCAAAACCTGGATGTAAACTGAAAGTTATAATCCAAGATCGCATTACTGACTAATCCTTCTATCTAAAAACATGATCTAGAAAGTGTTTCCTGAGCTAATGGAAGGCCCTTGCAAGGAATACAATAAACCATTTTGGTATACAAATCCACTATCACAAAAATTGTCATGTAACCCTGTAGAGGAGGAATATTAGTAATAGAATCCATTGAAACAGAATCCCAAGGAACAGATGGGGAAGGGAGTGGCTGAAATAAATTGGCTGACTATGCAAGGATAATCTTGATCTGAGAACAGACATGATAGGATGAAACATAGTTCTTGGTATTTGCTCCCACCCTAAGCCACCAGAACTCTCTGAACACCCAATGCAAACTTTTAACACTCCCCTATGTCCAGCAACTTGATTATCATGGCAGAGTTGCGGTATCTCTTCCCTTAAGGGAAGGGGAACACAGTGTTTGTGAAGCAGCTATCTATCATTCATAAACAAAGAGGATGAATCAGTCTGTGGGTCTCTCTGGAGATCGTCCATATGAGTCCTGACATATGAATCTTGTTGCAAACTAAGCTGATCCAACAGATATACTGCCTGCCTTCCCCCCTTAATCTTTCCAGAGGATATATACTCAGGGAAGGGCCAAAATTGTTTGGCTTCAGGATTGTGATAGGGAGGAATGAGTATGGAAGATCATATTCAGATTTATGTCAGAGCATATCTGGTAATTTGTTCTTTGAGCCAGCAATATAAGTGAGATAAAAAGTGAAATGGAGAAAAAATGTGCCCATCCGATCTTATAAGGTAGCATGGATTGTACTTTCTGTAAGCATTCCAAATTCCTCTGGTCTGTCTGGACTGGATTGTTCCCTCCAAGAAATGTCTGCAATGTTGGAATGCTACTTTGATCATAAGCAACTCTTTACTGAAAATGTGAGATCTTGTAACACTTGGAAATATCAAATGCACATTTTTCCACCTTAGCATAAAGATTATGTTTAAGGAGTCTCTATAAGTCATTCTTAACACAAGTCTTGTGCAAAAATGAATCTTCTGAAAACATCAGTATGTCATCCAAGTACACCACTATATATTCGTCAAAAATATCAGAAAATATTTCACTGATGAATCTGGAGAAGACAGCAGGATAATTAACCACTCGAAATAGCATTATTGTGCATTCCAATTTGCCATACCTGGTATCAAAGGCAGTTAAAAATTCATGGCCCTCTTTCATTCTGATCAAACTGTAAGTGCCTCTCAAATCCAAGAAAATGTGTGTTTTCTGAAGGTGGTCCAGCAGATCTGAAATAAGAGGCAGTGGGTAGTGATCCCTAATGGTCACTGAGTTCAGAAATCTACAATCATGAACAGCCCTCAAGGAATTATCTTTCTTGGGTACAAAAAACTTAGGTGCAGATGCTGGACATGTACAAGGCTGAATGAATCCTTTCTTCAAACTGTCATCTAGAAACATTTTTAAGGTGGTGAGTTCCTGAATAGACATCAGATATTGTCTCTTAGCTGGAATCTGGGCTCCTGGCTTCAAGTTAATCGCATAGTCACATGCTTGATAAGAAGGCAAGGTAACTTCCAGTGAGGATTCAAGGAGAACTAGATGTCTCCAAAGGATCAGAGATGGCATTGCAACGAGACCAGTGGCCAGATGGTGATTTCTGACTGTCAAAATCTCTCTGAATAAAGGAGAGATTGTGAGATGACCCACTTGCATTCTGAACAGCTGCTCCTCATGAGTAAACTGCAGGAAATGAGGTTTCTGCAGTTGCCTCATGAGTTGAGCGGCTGGGAGTTGAGGGATTTCCATCAAGCTCACAGCTGCA